TAAGCAGAGTGATGGCATTTGGGGGAAAACTGTCCTTGTGTCTAGTTGTTCTGGTGTGCAGTGCCCTATAGCAATTTATGTCCAGGATGTGAGGGGTGTGCAGATATTTTCACAGCCCTCTTTTTGACTCGTGCAGTATACAGGTCCTCAATGAAAAGTAAATTGGTAATAATTGTTTTTTCTGCAGATCTAATTCTCCGTTGAAGTCTGTGTCTGTCTTGTTGGGTTGCAGAACCAAACCAGACAGTTATAGAGGTGCAGATGACAGACTCAATAGTTCCTCTGTAGAACTGAATCGGCAGCTCTTTGGGCAGTTTGAGCTTCCTGAGTTGGCGGAGAAAAAAACATTCTTTGTTGTGCTTTTTTGATGACACTTTTGATGTTAGGTGTTCATTTTAGGTCTTGAGATATGATAGAACCTAGAAACTTGAAGGTCTCTACTGTTGATACTGTGTTGTTTAATATTGTAAGAGGTGGTAGTAGAGGGGGATTTCTTCTAAAATCCACCACCATTTCTTGGGTTTTGAGTGTATTTAGTTCAAGATTGTTCTGGTTGTACCCACAAGGCTTGTTGTTCAACTTCCCATCTGTATGCAGATTCATCGTTGTCTTGAATGAGATCAATCACTATTGTATCATCTGCAAACTTCAGTATTTTAACAGAGGGATCTTTTGAGATGCAGTCTTTGGTGTATAGAGAGAAGAGAAGGGGACAGAGCACACAGCCCTGGGGGGCACCTGTGTTAATTGTGGTCCCCCCCCCCAAAGAAAGTGTAATTAAAAATGGAGGAAAAGAGCTTCTCAAGTTATGTTAATCAGTGGGTCATAGTTTATATATCACAATAAGTCATAATATGACTGTTTGGATTTTGGCTTAACATGTTATGAAAATTAGTTGTATACTTTAAAAGAAATTAAATTCAGAATATGAGTATTTATGTGGTTGTAAAAAGATGTACGAGGGAAGAAATATAGTATGAAGGTTTGAAAACGACAGCATTGCATACAGGCAGCCAGGAGAGGGAGACTATGTACTATTTTTGGTGACAGGATGCAATATTTTATTTATTAGATTTTTTTTATCCTGCCTGTATTACTTTATAAACAATTCAAGGCACCAAACAAAGCTAATATTCCTTCCTCCTCCCTAATTTCCCCACAACGACAAACCTTTGAGTTGGGTTGAGCTGAGAGAGAGAGGGAGAGATTGGTCCAAAGCTGGCTTTCATGGCTAAGGCAGGACTAAAACTCCCAATCTCCTGGTGATTGGCCCAAAGTTATCCACCCGGCTTTCATGCCTGAGGCCGGATTAAAACTCCCCATCTCCTGGTGATTGGTCTAAATTCACCTAGCCATCTTTCATGCCTAAGGAGGGACTTGAACTCTCAAGTTTCCTTGTTTTTCTACCAGCACCTTAACCACTACACCAAATTGGCTCTATATGTCATAGCTAAATAGGTGTTAACTGCACAACTGAGGGTTTTTGTTTTGACCCTCATCTTTTTTCTTACAGGCTTATAGCAGTACAGCTCCAACAGAAGAAAAAGAGAAAATAGTTTGGATCAGATTTGAAAATTCTGACTTGAACGGTAAGTCTCTCCCCCCCTATAATAATATAGTATAGCCTTTATTGTCATTGTACATCAGGTATACAACAAATTCCCCCCCCCCTTCCAAGCTTCCCAGTTCAATTTGAGGCTTTGCTGTTTTTGCTCAGTCTTGTCATATCTGCATTTTGAGAGCCACCTCTTTCCATATCAGATGGTAACAAAGAGGAGGCGTCCTTGATTGGACAGCCTATACACGTAGTCCTCGACGTACGACCACAATTGAACCCCAAAATTTCCCTTGCTGAGTAAGATAGTTGTTAAAGTGCTCCATTTTACGATCTTTTTTTGCCACAGTTCTTAAGCAAATCGTTGCAGTTATTAAATGAATTATGTGGTTGTTGCACAAATTTGGTGTCAGTTCCAAGTAATGCATCTATCACAAATCAAACTCTAAGGCATTTCCTTTCTTCAAAGAAAAAATTTATTTAGATACACCATCTTTGCACAAACTGATGAAAAGCCTAAAGTTCCTGGGCTTTTCACCCACTATAAATAAGGTGTCAGGTTTCCAAATAGCATCCAAAAGTAAATCAGAGTCCAAGGCAAAAGATTCCTCAAAGTTCCAATTTATTAAGAGAGC